AAAATGATATTAATACTTTTATTTTATATAATAAGTGTACACACAGTAATCGAGTCTAAGACTATCTCGCGACTGACTTATGTACTATGCATTATTCGATGGCGACGGACGTCGTCTACAAAAGTGCTTACCCATCTAAATTCTACGTTACCCATATTATATTACTATAAGAACAAGGGGTTCCTAACACGTGTATACTGGGAAATTAAGTAATATTATGTTTTTATTTAAATTAAATTAAATTAAATATTTATTTAAATTTCAAATAATCATGATTACCCGTATTGCCGTATATAGTCCATAACGTTTGTGTTGAATAATAATGTACAAGCATATTTTCTGGGAATAATTAAGCTATTCAAATATTATTATTTAATACCATCAATTGAAATTTTAAATACTCGAAAATTGTTTCACAAATTTTATAGTTGTACTTATATTCGTCATCTTAATACCTATTGAAATCTCATAATTTTCAGAAATAATGCGAAATACTCTGACAGTCTTCAATATTTAGAACGAAAGAATAATATTATATAATTCTGTGTCGAACATTGTCCGACGTTGCTAGCTTTCGGATGGGTGACCACTGACCACCTGGGTGTTAAGTGACGTATTACTCAAACCCAACCTTGATTCCTACACAAAATGCTAATTGCTATAATTTTCCGGTGCTTTAGACAAGAAAAAAATCCAAATTATTTATATTAATTATAGATTATAATAGAATCGCTAATAATTATGATTATTTTGGTGGTGTCGGTTATCGGTGGTGAAAAAAGGGAATATTTATCATTCAGATAATGCTTCAAGAATCTCAAAATAAAATTATTTCAATACGTTTTTCAGCTGCTTCAAATCTAGACACCTAGTGTTGACGGTATTCAGAGACTCAGAGTTATTGTTAGGTGTTCAGTATTTATTTATTCACTAGTTTTAATTTAAGATATAATGGTTTTGTTTATTAAAATTATATTGTCTTAGAATTCTCCCAATATGTTTTCTTTTCACTTTTTTCCACATTGCAGTTAATCTAATTTTTCCCACATATTTAAGACCAAACCCGAACTATAAATATGATTGTATTTGTATTTTTGAATACATATTCTAAACTGACCCTAGTCCCAGTTTTTAGCACAATATAATTTTAAATTAAACATTATATTATTTTTTCCAATATTGCTTTTACGTAAAAGTGCCGTTTACCTTTTTCAATTAAATTTATTGCATCTAAAATAAGTTTCATTCATTTATCACATTACTTTATTATACTGAAGCTAAGTCGATAGAACTCTGATAAAATTTTTTTTCTCTTTTTTTCATTAATGAAATTAAGTTTTATTTTTTCATACATTTTTTCACGTCAATGAGATATTCGGTTAATCATTTGTTACCTAAATAACTAGCAGATTTTTAGGTTAATATATCTGAAGATTGTAGATTGTAGTCTATAGTATTAGCCAACTAAATTATTTATTTTTATTCCTCTTCCAATTCCCATTTTTTTCTATACTTTAATTCTAGTTCATTTTTGTATGAAAATTGTATTTAAATTTTGATAACCAGCGTTGCTCTTCAAATGATCATTATTTAATAAACTAATTACCTTCAATAATATTTTCTGTTAAATTATTTGGAGATTGTAGACTGTGGTCATAGTGTATTCCTAATGTACATTTTTATAATTGTATGTGATTAATTAATTTTTTCCCCCAAGGTCCTAATTTTTTATGTAATATTCAATATATTTTTTTCAACTTCATAAGTTTCCCATTATTTGGTACAAACTTTACAAACTTGTTTTTCTTCAGTTTCTTTTTTAAATTTATTAGTTATTTTACGATCATAAACTATCAAACGTCGAACACAGAATATAAATATTAAATTATCTGTACTTACTAGTAGATAAATATCTATAGCTATATTTGATGCAGTATTTTCCAATAATTAAGATAATATAGTCTACAGCAATGTAAACAATTAAGTACTTATTAGATTGAATTGCAAAAAAACATTCGATTACTAGTTACAGTATTATTCCCAAAAGTGTTTTCATAAATACGCCCAATGTGTTAACAATTTTCATGTAAATTTTTTATACTGCGGCACTGCGCCCAAACGGGTTATCCCCCTTAATATACATACCTATAAGCCTTGCACGTACCATAATAATATTTTATTATAATATTTGATAGTTATAAAAATATAATCGTAAAGTAAAAATAATTTTTATCACTTAGGTCGTATAATTGTACCTAATAATTATTTTAATTAACTCCTAATTATGCAAATTAAATACAACCAGTACAACTCGTACAAGTCTTTATAGTTTGTACATAATAGGTTAGGTTAGGTTAGGTACCTAGTACCTACTTTTCTAAATAAAATATCACGATAAATGTTGGTATGTCACACACTTACCAATTGTCAATTTACTAGACCAGTATTAACTAATTAATACTAATAATGTGCTTTGAAATTTTCACACATTATTAATAGTAAGATAATAAGATATAAGCATAATATGACACATATTTTTAAATCAATAAATATTAAATGTTAATTGTTACCCAGAAATTATCGAGGTTGTGGATTCTCGACTTAGTGTTCAGTGAAAGAACATGCCACTAACCGGCGAAAATGCCTAAAATTACTTATAGCCCCTTCAAGATAAATTACTCTTTATTTTCGAACTCCTTAACATTAGGTGTAAACATATTAATATTTTGTCAATTGCAATAACAACCCTATTTATCCAATAACATTTCTGAAAATAGTGGACAAGTCTTTTTCAATTAGGCTTACTCAAGACGAATTAATTTATGTTTTTGGACGTCCTATTCGATTTCTATTACTAGGAAGTTAGATAAAAAAGTAAAAAAACACAACTGAGATCTGAGAACGCCGAAATCGTCGTATCCGGGCGTGAAGCGTTTGTTTTGCCTCCTTCTTACTAACGCATGACATGCCACATTTTCCGTTAAGAAGAATCTATTTTTATTTTTAATCCTTGAGCAAATTTATCTATTATCAAATATTATCTAGGGCACCTTGAACGTTTTATTTTCAATGCAAATTTTAAAATGCTCATACCTAATATTTGGATTCAAAATCTCAACATGAACAAAAACCATACAAAACGCCGTAGATAATATTCAAACATTTAAATTTGATACCTATACTTAATAAGTTGGTTTGCTCTGATATTTAAAATCACCGAGCAAAAAGCATTATTATTAACGGAAAATTTGCCATATTAAATTACGCGTACTCGAGTAACAGGGAGTAAACATATTATGTGGGTATGTACATTTGTTATGTTCTTAGAGCCACTGTTGTCTGTTACGACACAGACCGGACTCTTAACGGTTTACTAGACGACCTTCGGATGACGATATTTGCATAGTAATAAAAAACTGCGCACGCGAACGGTTTTTAATTTACCAATTACGTGCAACACCGTTTTTGTTTTTTTACCGCACACGGTTGGAGAGAGGGACGGCATAACAATTACCCACTTTAATTATAATATATTTATTGTGTTCAAGATACATCATGCCATCATGGTACCTACGACTCTAATGTGCATGCCATATTATACGTAAATATTATGAGTAAATATATATAACGGGGCAATGATAAAACAGAAATTAAATATGTCACTGAAAACTATATTATGTACTTAGGTAATAAATATTATAATATATTGTTCTAAGCGTGCAGCTTTATTATATTACACAATATATTTTTTTGTGCAAGCTGTTTTACATTTTGCATGCGCATCACACGCACTTATATCGTCCGATGTAATTGTCATTTCTGATAAAAAAAAAAACAATACGGGCACAATGAGTGATGACAACACTGAATCGTTTAACCGGAAACACGCTTAGGGAATGGGACTGATAGAATAAACTAAACGTTATTTTCAAACAAAATAATGTATATACTTTATTACAATTATTTATTTATTTTTTCAATTAAAATAAGTTTTGTAATTACACCACAACAGTTATGCGCCATATTATGCACTGTTGGAACATAATTGTTGTACTCGATACGCAGTCATTATGTAATTTTGAGTTGTACAAACAAAAATAAGATATTAGCTATTATAATATAAATTATTTATGTATATAAAAAAAAATATATATAATAATAAAAAAAATAATGTCAAGTTTGATCTTTCTCTTTAATCAAAAACAAGTAAAATTATTATGTTAAGCATCTTGCAATAACAGAGTGATTTTTTATGGAAATTGAATTATGATTAAAATATATTAACTTAATTTTAAATTGAGTATTTATTATATGTTTCATAAATTACTTATTTTAATGAAAATATCTTCTAACAGAAAAAAAACAGTAAATCAAAAAAAAAATATATATGATAATATATATATAATAACAATCAAATGATAAAATATCTCTAAACAATATAATTCTAGAGTAAAAAGTTACAAAAAGCATGTGTCATCTTTGGACACTAAAACAATAATATGGCTAAGTTTATATTAAAAATAACAAATGTACATGATTGTTCCCTATGTGTTATTTGAAACTGTGTTTGGTGCTAAATGTGCATATGGGTGCCTCTTTGATTGACTGTTTTCTAACGAGGTTCTATTTTGAGGAGAAACAGACATACCTAGAACATAAAATAAAAACAATTTGTATTAAGTATTTTAATTATAATTTAACACAAGAGTAATTCACACTATGTATTTAATATTTATAATGAAAAAAAATGTAGTTAATGACTTATTATTAATATTTTAAAACTTTATTTTAAGGGTATATAAAATAAACTTTGTGTGTTTTATTTTCAATATATTGGATTAATGATGAACAATTTACTTTGATGCTAATTGAGGGAGCTGAATTTAAAAATAAATTAAATTAGTTATTTTTTATCCAGTTAACCGTTTCATACTGGTTTATTATCTGCACAGTTAATATAATAAAAATCACGATTTAGGTCCCTATAAGTGAAAAATAGTTCAAAATGACATAGAAATGCAAAACGCAACTAGCCCTTTCAGGATTTTTGTTATTGAAAGAAATTTTTAGCTATGGGAAAGTATCGTTTGAGACATAAAAAAATTTTAAAAATGCAAAATCCGGACTATAGTATTAGTATCTATTTTTGTGTATGATCAACTTTATTATTTAATTATTTGATAATTAGACACCTTGAGGTTCATTGGTTACATAAAAGTAAATATAATATATAAGTAAGTGTAATAAAAAAGTGAGATGATCTGATTAGAAAATAGTGATTGATTTTTTGTGGAACAGGTAAGAACACGGTGGGAGACAGAGGCTAATGCATTAAGAGTATTGTTCATAAGTTCGTTGGTTAACGCGAGATCTGCAGTATCACAGTGGAAAGCTAAAGATAGAATGTCAAAAACATTATGTAATCAAAGAATATTTTTATCACACACAAAATGTATGGTGATTTGAGACATTATTTATAACTATACTCACTTGGTGATGATCCCAATTTTGAATTTTCAGATGAAGTTGTCATACGTGAAAAGGCGATCAGAGTATCAGGGAAATTGGGTGGCGTAGCAGGAGTATTACACGGTGTCATCTGAAATAATAATATAAATGTTAAAATGCTGTTATTAACTTTCAATAGAAATAACTCACTTGTCCAAATCCAAACTGTGCTGAATTTTGATTGCAACTGGATACAGAAGAATCTTGAAAAAATATGCTCAATGCAGTCTGAAAAACAAAATATTCAAGGTATTTAATTGTCTTACAAAAATATAACATTTATTACGCTTACATGATGGCGTTAAAATGGTTTTAGATTCATTGATATTTGTATATCCAATGTACTTGGACCTGCAAGAATGTAAGAATCTTAAGTGCTTAAACCGTTTTATCGTTAACATGTAAACATAAACTACTCTAAACAATATAAAGTATAATAGGTATTTATTTTTATCAATAGGTAGTCATACTATATTGTATTTGTTGTCATTGTTAAAATTATGAGCTCCTCTGGTTTCTTAGATTATATTCTATTATGTTTACCTACCTATTTAGTCAATAATACTGTATCTTGATACAATTTTTGTATTTAAATTTTTTACAATATGACTCTAGAATAGAAAATTATTTGATAGGTGAAGCTAGGTTTATTTGATTTGTTTTTTCAGAACCTAGTTATCAAAGGCCGAATTATAAAAATGTATACCTAACCAAAATATTTTTAATACTTAAAAAAGCACAGATATTTTATTAAGATTATCGTTGTCAGTAATAAAATATTTTGACGTCATCAAACAGACATAGTGAAAACCCCGGTGAATACATTAAAAACACAATGAATAGTTAAGTACAATTTTTTTTGTCTAATTAAGCAAATTCGAACAGTCTGACGTAGGTACAAGTATTGGCATAAAATTGAATGATTCGACAACTTTAGAGGACAAGGTTACGGGTAGATACAATATTTGTTTCCTCATAGGTACTGAGCAAATTCTCAAATGTCTCGTTGGGCGGGTTAAGTTGACCAATCGGCTGTATACAAATATAACAAATTGAAGGTAGAAGCAAACAAAAATGAGAGAGACAAATGTCTAATAAGCATAAAAGAATCATTAAACCGCTAAGTACACATAAATTGACGTCATCACATTTCATGAAAACATTGAAAATATATACAAAACGAATGTGATGTATTTTTCAGCAAATCAGAAACAGTTTTGACACAGACAGGTATACAAAGGAATTGTTATAAGACGTAAGGATTCGATAACATCAGAGGACAAGGTTACGATGGAGAGACGACGATATTTGTTCTTACGCAGTGGTGAATTTTCGACCACTGTACCGTGCTAGTAAGACGATTGATCAACCGTTGGTACTGAGAAGAATGGAAAACGTAACAGATACAGAGAGAAACGAATATTATAGATGGCCACTGAGCTCGTTTGAAGTTCAAGGTCACGGGGGGGTACAACCACAACCACCGGACGAACGAAAAACGCAGGGACAATGGGTCGAGCTACTGCACCAGACTTCGTACCCACTGCGATATGTGGGTTAGGCTCAGGTTGGGCGAAGAACGATGTAAAAACATTGTTTTACATCGATCGACGACGCCGGGAGAACGATGCGAACTGGACGGACGACGCGGTCCACAACAATGGCGTTGCGCCTAACGGGTGTGCAAAGGCCGCGTCGACGGACGTAAAATATAATATGCGAACCGCATACCTCGAACTGCCAGTGGGCGGCCTGCAGCAACTGCTTGGCCTGGTCTCTGGCGCATCCGGCGGCAAGCACGAATTGGTTGATCATCACCTGTTCGCGCAACGAATCCATTTTGGTTCAACGCAAAAGTGTCTCCGGAAAACCTGTCGGCGCGCGCCCGGCGACGACGGTATACGGCGGTGCAGCGTAATCGCACGATTGGCGTACGGTTGCGCGGTTTTTTCGACTGGCGCGCGCGCGCGAGCACCGCTTGGCGTCCGGGAAACGAATATAAAATGTCAGGGAACGACAGGCGCACGTCGGCGCGACCCGATAGTATCGTCGTCCGTACTGCGGTAGCAACACTTGTTAATAATTATTACGAATCGAAGGGATTATATTTTCTTCTCTATTCCGATTTTCACTCGGTTTTTATCAGCCGCTCCACAACAACAATAATAATAACAATATTGTGTGCGCGACGAGCAGTCAACGCATATGGACTGGACGGTGACGCGCAGAAGACTCGGCCGACACGCACACGCACGCACGGCGCGGGAGACGGTGTGAGAGGAGGAGGAGGAAAAAAAAATAATAACAACAACAATAATAAAAACAGTCAACAGTGGCGCTGCCTCTGCGTACCGTCGTCACACACGGCACACACACACATCACACACGCACACGCACAGAGCACACACACGCGCGCTGGCCGCCCGCGCCCGATATTCCCCCCCCCCCTCCTTCCCCGCCGACCTTCCTCCTACTAGAACACACCCGCCCGCCGGGCCTACCGCGCGGTATTATTATTATCCGCCGCACACGCGCACGGCGGTACACTGCACCGCCCCGTACACGACCTATCGTAAACACGTACCGGCGGGTACACGACCGATCGTGTCGCGTCGTGTCGTATCGTGTCGCGCCGTGTCCGCACAGCCGCGGCTGCCATGTCGGCCTGTCCGCAGCAGCTGATCCCGATCGGTCAGATCGAACGGCGCCCCGCGGCCCGCAGCCGTGCGTTTGGCGGGCTTGAACCACAGATAATAATCTATGGTTTGAACGGTAAACGCGGCCCGTGTCGTTCGAAAATATCAACAAATATGCACAAATAATTGTGACGATATTACGTTATTAAGAGGGCGCCACGCCGGTCATTTTCAGCCGTAAAAACACGTCCGCGGAAAACAAACGAATCGACATCAAAAAGCGGTTTTAGAGTAGAAATACCTATGATAAAACTTATAGAGAACAATATTTCGGAGGGAACCTCATCGGCGTTTTTTGAAATATTAACTATTAAAAAAGTTGTGGTTATTAGAAAAATTTAGAAAAAAAGGGTTTTTGTGCCTTCGATATCTAGCTGTGTATTTAGATTAATACAAAACCCCGATGAGGTTCCCTCCGAAATATTGTTCTCTATAAAATGTATCATAGGTATTTTTACTCTAAAACCACTTTTCAATGGCTTTTCGTTGTTTCCCCGCGCGTAAATACGATATTAATAATAATATTATTAATTGTCGACAGTGATAAGACTCTTCGCATTCGCCCGACTGCGAGTTATTACAGGTCCAGCCCGCGACGTGGACACATTTTATTGTGATATTAAACGGCTGAATTCCGTTCGATAGTGTACGCCTAATTGAGCCCAATTGTTCGGCAATTGAGGTTCTAACTGTGTAATTCTCACACACATAGTGTGTGTACCGACGGTTCTAACTTTTTTTGAAGTCTGCGTAATGGAAAGGAAAATGTTTCGAAAAAATGTTCTGGACTCAATCGTGTTATTTTTCGGATTGAATTATGTGTAAATCCTGGTTCATACTCCCGCCTAAGTTCCCGACCATTCCCCGCGGGGGAGGGTCGCTCTTGAAAAATGTATAAATGTATAATAACACTTATTCGTTGTATATAGGTACGTTGAATAACGCTTACTAGGTATGTGTTGAAAATCTCGTACTTTTTTTTTTACGAACACTTTAAATCTTATAAATTTAAAAACTATACAAATACTAGATTATAAATTATAAAATAGTATATTTATACCGGGGACTTCATGGAGTCGTTTTTCAAATGCTCGTTCGATATACCCTCAACAAATAATACAACATTTTGTTAGGTCTAAAATGAATGCAGATAGACGGCGCACAATTTTTTTTCTCTTCCTAGCCAACGAGCAACAGACAAAACGCATTCATCCAAAAAACCATGTTACTATCATTTATGTTTTTGAGTATAGTCTTAGTGTGTACGATCACCCGTTACAATAACAGTAGCAGAGAATAATATTTTTGATCTTTTGACAGACCAATTTGTCTAAATATTGTCTAAAAACATTGTAATGTACATTTAAATAAACATTTTTTTTTTTCATTTATCTTGGTAGTAGTACCTATATGAGGTCAAATCATAATAAAGTATAAAGTTGATAATATGTCAAACCATCAAAAATATTATTCCCCGTAATTTTTGTTATACGTGATTTGACTTCGATATGGCACAGAAAACACAAAAAACAAAAAAATGTAGGTATGTGAACGCCTATTTTTCTATGTTTTGACAAAATATATTGCGTCGACATTCCCTTAAAGTATTATCTCTTAGTTCTTACTCGTTACACATAAGAGATCATACAATATCTCCGTCATACATATTATTCGAAGAAAAGTAAATACAAATTATTCTCGCTCCTGCTTCTTATCGTATCTCATTAAAATGTTCATTCTAATCACTTTTTACAGTAATCGTCATTCACTATAATCTCTAATTATTACAGTAATCGACGACAATTTCACTGTATAGATACTGTTGATATATGTATTATATATACAACGATAAAAATACAAAACATATGTAAATTATAATTTATATTATGATATTATTATAATTATTTCTGTCATGTCGTGTATTTCATTTGTTGAGCTATAAATTATAATTATTGTGTAGACACATTGATACATGTAATGTGAAACAGCAGTGGTTCTCAACCCACGAGTAGCTAAATTATTGAAAATTCCTAAGCCTAATGTCCATGTTATCATTCGTTGATATTTATATGTTTTTTTTCCGACGTATATGGGTGGTACAAAACCTCAGGATTCGAAAAAATAATTATACTGTTTGTATGGCTGCAGTGGGGTAGGGAAAATATTATTTATTTTTGATGAATGACCGTGTAGAATACCTACAGAGTGATCCATTTAACATATGATGTCTTACGATGTCTTACGTTAAATGGATCACTCCGTATAGTGTAGGGATAAAATTTAATCACAAAATAAACATTGGAAAAATGAATGATATGATTGTCAGTGATTACTGAGTACTTTAAATGTCGCATTGAAGATGTTTCTGTTCCATTTTCTAGTATAGTTTATTTTATGTATATTAATGATTATTATATTTATATTTGTCTATGTAGGTACCTGAATATACGACTTTTATCAAAATTACCTAACTCAGAGATAAAATATAATAATAATAATTTATTCACTAGAAATATACTATAATAATATATATGTAGGCACTCCAAAAAGATATGTGAAAGAACTAAAAAGTAATTTCAATAAAATGCAAGTTTATACAGCTATTCCAATGACGAATAAGGAAATATTGAAAACGTATCGAATAAAAAAAAAGGACGATAGCCGAAAGGTTAATAAAACAAAGGAAATATATATGAACTGATGGTGCAATATAAAAATATATTTCTGTATCAAATTCTATTAAAAATATATTGGTATTGTTCAGTTTCTCGAATAGAGAAGGAAAGTGCAGTGCAGAGACAATACAAGTATAAAACGCAATATAATATTGAAGAAATGTAATAAAAACTAAAATAAAAACAGAAAAAAGATTTTACGAAAATAATAAACAATAGGTATTAGGTACTTAATTATTAAGTAACTATGAACGACATAATATGTAAGAACAAAGTACGCGATGGCTCGTTTGGCAGTTATTTGAGTCATTTCTGATTGCTGTCTAGTATTTTTGTTTATCTTTATAATTTAATTTGAATAAATAAGGGCCGATTACCAATGAACTTTACAGTGATACGGAATGTATACAAAAAATATTTTTAAAACAATAATATAACATTATATAAAACGATTACATTTCACTAGAAAACTTCTAAGTATTATAAGTGCATTTTTTTTTAAAGAAACCTCATAGCTTATAAATTATAATATTTTGACGATTAACTAAACGTAAGTGTGGATAAAATTATACTAAAATTGTAATAAATACCAAAGGAACGGATCCTCCACCTTATGAATTCAGAATGGTCTCAATGACGTGCAATCAAAATTCCATCGAAATCAAGAAAAAATGTACTCAATAAAATAATATATTGTACATTGTTAAAACAAATATTCTAGATAAATAAATCTAATTTATGACGTGCCTTAGATAAGTGTAATTAACATAATCTATATCACTGACAAATTGTATAACATGTAAACAATAATTAATAGTATTATAATGTGTAAATAACGTCATATAGAGTTAGGTAGGCAGGTATTATACAGCTGGTAGTTACACTCAGAGATGATGAACACTAAGCTTTCAGCTTAAATAATTACACAGTGTTAAGATTATATTGTACAAAATCAACAATCAATGTTTTGTTTCAACTCTGAACATTTTCGAGTAATTCGAAAATAACATGGACAATGGTAGATTCAACACTTTTAATACAATTATTAAATGGCGCAAGAAGAATCTGAGACAGACCACAGGTAGTTCTATGGGGAACGTCGACATTACGAATTTATATTCTATGGGCTTTCGTAAGCGGTCGCTATATAGCTGTTTAAGTTTGAAATAAATCAATATAACAATGGTTCGTCAAAATCAGAATGTTCCAAGACATTTACCAACAATGGATTTATATATGTTTGGTCGACCCAGTCAAAAGGTTCACTAAAATATTTGTTTCAGGATAATAGTATAATACTGCTATACTAATATAATAGTATATTGATATATACATGCAGCATTGCCTTAACACTTTTTGTTAGTCACTTACAACTTCGCATCATAACATTATTCAATATAACTATTCTCCGTCCGTGAATTTAAAGGCATCTTATGTGACGGACCGTATACCAAGCCCTACAACACCATAGATAACATTGTAAATTCCATGATCCACATCCACATGTAAACATCGCTTTTATATTTTTTCGTTCCAAGGTATTCAATTATATTTTATAGGTAAGGCGTCGTCTGGAATTGTATTAAAAAAATAGATAAGTCATTAACGATACAATGTCATATTACCTATTATAGATAATTATACGATTTGTCATAATATTCATAATTTTGTACAAAAAACATGCATCTTATTCCGATTGTAATTGACAATTATTGTATACAACATAATATTTAAGGTACAGTTATATAGGTAAATAATTTAATTATTGACGTAGAGTGGAATGCTATATCTTAGATCCACTGGCCAAAGATCATCAAAGTGGAATAAATGTATACATTAGACATAAGTAACTTATTTTTGACAATTTATTAATTGTATTAATAAGATTTTCTGTTATTTGTTTTTTTCTACATGGATATTCTTGAAACTTATTGATCAAAATATTGTAACTATTGTTATAAATTT